CTAGATGCAATTCGTTCAGAAATATCTACAGCCTAGTTTGAATATAAATCCCCAATAAAGTATTTATTTAGTAGTTCCAGAGGGAGAATTATTCTGAGCGTCAATTTAGAGGGAAGCACCTAAAAGGAATAGAAGAGAATGTAGAGAAAGTAAAACAGGCTACTGGGCAATGATGTATTTATTTATAATCCAGTCCCACCCGATGCTGGTTCCACTCTAAGCGGGAGAAAGCCATGGATGCCTTTTCTAGGCAAGCCGTGCTCTCCCCTCATTGGTCCAGATCGAAAACCGACTGGTGTCCTTGGAGATTTATGGGAAGTGGCTCCATAAAAACGTTTGCCAGTCGTAAATGATTATTTTTTTCTCGAGCCAAATTAATCTCTGTCACTTCTCCCTCTGTGTTCGTGTGTGGGGCTTCCAGGGCATCCTTGACCCATTTATTTTCTGTTCCATCGGCTGCAAGGAAAAATATCCAAAGGCTACTTCCACTCAATGACGATCTTCATTTGGAAGCAAGACTAGAAGCTGGAAGTATTCCTCAAAGCCACTCTATATTTTTTTTCATCCTTAAGTGACAGGGATGTGAGAGGACAGGAGAAAGGAAGGTACTTGTTTCGAGGGAAAGGTGCTTTAGGCTCCTTCTAAACCGCCAAATAAAATCCAGATTATCTCCTTTGAACTATGACAGTGTAGACTCGTATAATCCAGCTCAAAGCAGATAATGTGGATTATTTGCTTTGATAATGTGGATTATGCGACAGTGTAGAAAGGCTCTTCCACAGAGCCATATAAGTCAGATTATCAAGTCAAAAAATCCCTTCTTTGAACTGGGTTATCGGAGTCCACATTGCCATATATTCCAATTCAAAACAAAATGTGGGATTTTATTCAACTGAATGGAAAGGGCCCAAGCGGTCAGAGTCTTCCCATTTTGTTGGCGGGGTAAACTATTTGAATTTCTGTACAAAAAAGAATCGAGGACGATTATATTCCGAGCGAGTAGAGAAAACACAGACCTAAAATGTATGTTTCTTTGGGTTGTTGTAGGTTTTTTCGGGCTATATGGCCAGGTTCTAGAGACATTCTCTCCTGACGTTTCGCCTGCATCTATGGCAAGCATCCTCAGAGGTAGTGAGGTCTGTTGGAACTAGGACCTACAACAACCCAGTGATTCCGGCCATGAAAGCCTTCGACAATATGTTTCTTTGCTTTGTAATTCATTCACAAAACGTTATCAAGTGTCAAAACAGGACTGCTTTATTCCTTTAACGCCTCACTACTATATAAAATCTAGATTAATCACTTTGAATCTGTTTATATTGCATTGTGGACTCATATAATCCAGTTCAAAGCAGTTAATATAAATTATCTGCTTTGATAATTATATGGCAGTGTAGATGCAGTCTGATCCATGCACAGGAAAGTAGAGATTTTTTTCCGCATTTTTACCTAACCCACTTCCTATGCCATACTAAACAATTATAGCAATTTGATACCGATTTACCTCTCATGGTGCTATGCAATAAAATCCTGGGATGTGTAGTTTGGTAAGGAATGTTTAGAATTCTCTGTAGTATTGTAGTTTAGAGGACGGTGCTGCACCAAGCTATAAAGCCTACAATGCCAAAGAACAGAACAGTATCAAACTTAAAGCAGTATCAAACCGCGGTATATTTGATTGAGTAGGTGCACCTGAAATCTCACTGAACTCCCTCGAATTGATAGCAGCTGGAAACATTGGCCTGGATCTGACCCGCCTTAGGATGCATCCATATTACAGAATGAATGCAGTTTGTGGGTTGTAAGATTTTCGGGCTGTATGGCCATATTCCAGAAGCATTCCCTCCTGACGTTTCGCCTGCATCTATGGCAGGTATTCTCGGAGGTTGTGAGGTCTTCTATGGCAGGCATCCTCGGAGGTTGTGAGGTCTTCTATGCCAGGCATCCTCGGAGGTTGTGAGGTCTTCAGAACTTCTGAGGATGCCTGCCGTAGATGGAGGTGAAACGTCAGGAGAGAATGCTTCTGGAACATGGCCATACAGCCCGAAAAACTTACAACAACCCAGTGATTCCGGCCATGAAAGCCTTTGACAATACATAACTCGATGCTATAGGATCCCGAGAGCTGCAGTTTTGTGGGAAGCTAACATACATGTGTGTGTAGATACAGATTAGATGGCGAGATAGAGAAATATTTTTTGAAGAAACTGCAAGTCCCATCTGCTGTGAGAGAATTGGCCTTCTGCAGGAATGTGTTGCCATCCTGTGGGAGGCTTCTCTCATGTCCCAGCATGGGAAGCTGGAACTGACAGACGGGAGCTCACCCGTTTTGAGGATTCGAATAGCAGAACTTCAGGTCAGCAAGTTCTATAGATACAGGTATTGTCAGAGTAAGGCGAAGACCTTGTCAAACGATTCCATAGCAAGGAGACGCAGCAGGAAATGCGGAGTCAAACTACATTCATTCTACAGCGTAGATACACTTTGGGAAATAATCAGAAAGGAGCCAGCAGAGGGGCCTTTTGCGGACACAATGCTATCCGACTTTTCGTTCCAGACAAACGACCACCTGCTCTTTCAGCACCAACTTTGTGAATCTCCGGCGCGTCAATCATCGTTCCCGATTTCCCCGCCGCTCAATGAAGCCCTTGGAGCTCCGGGCTGCGAAAGGGACCACACACCGTCAACACAACGGAGGAGAAGGCAAAGGCAACCCACGGCGGTAGAAAAGGCCGAGGAGGAGCGGGTAAAGGAGGGGAAAGAAAATATTTGGGCAAGATGGGGTTTTCTTTTCCTTCCCGGAAAGCCCCCTCGATGATCTCACTCCCGCGGAAGCTTGCCTGGGGAGTGGCGCTTCAGCCAGGGCAGGAAATCCTGTGGGGCGCGTCTCCACTGTCGAATTAACGCAGTTTGACAGCACTTGAACTGCCATGGCTCAACGCTATGGTGTCGTGGGGTTTGGAGAGTGACGAGACTCGGAGAAGGTTAAAGAGGGACCTTGTAAAAGTACCGCTTTGGCAATAAATAAATAAAAATAAAAATGTAATGTTCGTTTGTGGGATTAACAGAACTCAGAAACCACTGGGGGAATTAACAGCAAATTTGGACACAATACATCTAACAGGCCAATGAGTGACCATCACTCATAAAAACACTGAAAATCACAGTGGAAGAGACTCCAAAAAATAAAAATATACATTACAACGCATGCGCAAAGCTCATATATATACACATAAACACAAATATATACACAGACATATATACACACAGAGAACACATATACACGGACTGGGCCACAGGAACGCCTGGCAGGGGGCGGCTAGTAAATAAATAAAAATAAAAATGTAATGTTCGTTTGTGGGATTAACATAACTCAAAAACCACTGGACGAATTAACACCAAATTTGGACACAAGACACCTAACAGGCCAACGAGTGACCATCACTCATAAAACACTGAAAAACACAGCAGAAACTTAAAAGGCCAAAGAAATACATTACAACGCATGCACAAACCATATATATATATATATATATATATATATATATATATATATATAGCGCAAACACACACATATACACAAATATATATATATTCACATATACACACACACACACAAAACACATATACACAGACTGAGCCACAGCAACGCGTGGCAGGGGACTGCTAGTGGATAAAAAAAAAAAGAAGTACATCCCCATAGTTCCCTAGCATTGAGCCATGCCAGTTAGTGCTGTCGCTGCATTGATTCTACAGTGTAGGTCTCCTTTCCTCGCTTCCATCACACTAGACAAAAAAATCCGGTTTCTGTTTTTGCAGAATTCTGGAGTTTGCAGTTTAATGAGGCTGTTAAAGTCTCCTCCCTAAACAACAAACCCCAGTATTCTGCAGGAGGCAGAAACCGGATTTTTCACAAGTGTGATTTTGTTCGTGTCAGGAGCGACTTGAGGAACTCCAAGTCGCTTCTGGTGTGAGAGCATTGGCCGTCTGCAAGGACGTTGCCTCATACTAGTGTGATGAGGGAGGCCCCTTCCACACAGCTGAATAAAATTCCACATTATCTGCGTTAAACTAGGATATATGGCAGTGTGGGCTCAGATAACCCAGTTCAAAACAGATATTGTGGGATTTTCTGCCTTGATATCTGAGTTATATGGCTGCGTGGAAGGGCCCTGAGGCTCTTGTTTTAGTCCTGCCTCCAAATCAATGCACTTTAATTTCTAATAAATATTTTTTTTCTCTGTGTCCTGAAAATAAACAAAATTTGGCTACCAGTATTTAAAAAAACTCCAAAATCAGGAAAGTAAATAAAGAGGAACACTTTAAAAAAAAAACCCAGGGAAATTGCAGACAAGAATCACCTCCCAACAAAGGCAGGAAGCAGCCAGGTTTTGAAACTGCAAGGCCATTCCATGCTAATCAAGGTGGCCAATTACAACATTCACACCGACTCTAGCAGACAAGAGGTTTTTTTTCCCACCCTGGACATTCCACAGATATATAAACCTCATTTTCCTAGTTTCCAACAGACTTCACAACCTCTGAGGATGCCTGCCATAAATGCAGGCGAACCGTCAGGAGAGAATGCTTCTGGAACATAGCCATACAGCCCGGAAAACTCACAGCAACCCAAAGTTTTTTTTGCAGTTTACTAAACTTTCCCCGTTTTTATGATAGGACCAATTAGAAAATGGCCACCCAGGTATAGTGGGGTCTTTAGTTTTTAACCCAATTTGGGTCCCCGGTAGTTATTGAAAGACAGCTCCCATCACTATCAAATAATTAAATCAGATGCTATTGAAGAACAACTCCCTCCACTGATTATGAAGACCACCGACCACTATGGGATATATATCATTATCCGGCCCTTTGAAGATAGCCATAAAGCTGACATAGCTCTTGATGGAAGTGAGATTGACATCCTGCTCAAAGATTTGGAATCCTGGGAGTTGGAGGTTTGAGACGGCCTTCTGTGCCCAAGACCCTAACCCGCGCCTTACCTTCTCGGGCGGGGTGCTTGAAAGCTCCGGGGGCGGGCAGCTCTCCCCCTCCTCCGCCGTGGAGCCCCACGCCGCCGGGCCCGTGGTGGTGGGCCTGCGCCTGCCAGGGGTGGTGGTGGTGGGCCGGGCCCAGGTAGCTGCCGCCGCCGCCGCCGCCAGGACCCGCGTAGACCCCGGCCTGGTTGGCGGAGGGGTAGGCGCAGGGAGAGAGGAAGGGGCTCACCGCCGAGAGGCCGGGCGCAGGCTGCCGGGGAGGAAGGAGAGAGACACACAGAGAGGGTTGGTGGGAGCACAGGAAGGCAGAGCAGCGCCTGCCGTTTAAGCCACCCTGCCAACACTCGCCCAAGACCGACAAAGCACCCGAGAGAGTAGGCCCATTGGATCCCATCCGTGGTGTATCAACATCCGGGGGACCTGATTCATTGACCCAGCCACCGCTCTTAAAGAGACAGCCAAATTAATTAGGATTGTTGTCTGCCTTCAAGCTGCCTTCAAGCTGTTTCAGTCAGAGACCCCTTCCACACAATTGAATAAAAGACCTCCTTGATCTGCTTTGAATTGTCGAAGGCTTTCATGGCCGGAATCACTGGGTTGTTGCAAGATTTTTCGAGCTATTGCCCATGTTCTAGAGGCATTCCATCCTGACGTTTCGCCTGCATCTATGGCAAGCATCCTCAGAGGACCTCACAACCTATAAGGATGCTTGCCATAGATGCAGGTGAAACGTCAGGAGAGAATGCTTCTGGAACATGGCCATATAGCCCGAAAAAACCTACAACAACCCAGATATTCTTTGAACTATAATATATGGCAGTGTGGACTCAGGGCTCTTCCACAGAGCCCTATATGCCAGGTTAAAAACAGATATTGTGGGATTTTCTGCCTTGATATTCTGGGATATAGGGCTGTGTGGAAGAGCCCTCAAATAACCCAATTCAAAGCAGTTGTTGCGGGATTTTCTGCCTTAATATTCTGTGGACACTTCCACACAGCCCTATACCCCAGAATATTAAGGCAGAAAATCCCACATTATCTGAGTGTGGACTCAGATAACCCGGTTCAAAGCAGATATTGTGGGATTTTCTGCCTTAATATTCTGGGATATAGGGCTATGTGGATGAGCCCTCAGATAACCCAGTTCAAAGCAGTTATTGCAGGATTTTCTGCTTTAATATTCTGTGGGCCCTTCTACACAGCCCTATATCCCAGAATATCAAAGCAGGAAATCCCACATTATCTGAGTGTGTATTTAGCTAACCCAGTTCAAAACTGATATTGTGGGATTTTCTGCCTTGATATTCTGGGATATAGGGCTGTGTGGAAGGGTACTGGGTTATCTGAGTCCACACTGCCATATATTCCAATTCAAAGAAGATAATGTGGGATTTTCTGTCTTGATATTCTGGGATATAGGGATGTGTGGAAGGGCCCTAAATTACATGGCTGCGTGGAAGCGCCCTGAAACGATTTGAGAGTTGAAGGCAGAGGAACAACAATACTCCTCATTAACTCTACAGTCTCATCAACCAAAAGCAGGCCCACACTTCCCATTGAAATCCTAGTGGGTTTGTGCTGGTTCAAACTGTGCTTCATTTTCAATATTGCACTAATCTTTCATGGATTTCCCCCCACTACAAATAAAGTATGTGCAGTGTACATAAGAATTGTTTCTGGCTCCCAGCAGTCTATTTATTTTATTTTTTACAGTATTTATATACCGCCTTTCTCACCCCCCCCCCCGGGGGGGGTCCTACATTGCCATATAATCCAGATTATAGAATACATAAGAATTGTTTCAGGCTCCCCAGCAGTCTGTTTATGTTATTTATTTACAGTATTTATATACCACCTTTCTCACCCCTGGGGGTCTACATTGCCATATAATCCAGATTATCGAATCAGATAATCCAGATTGTCTGATTTTCGGATTACCTGATCCAGATTATCTGATTTGAACTCTAGTATATGACTCTATAGGTCCTTCCACATAGCCATATAACCCAGAATATCAAGGCAGATCATCCACAATATCTGCTTTGAACTGGGTTATCTGAGTCCACAGTGCCATATATTCTAGTTCAAAGTAGAAAATGTCGGATTTCATTCAGCTGCGTGGAAGGGACCTGAGTCCACATTGCCATATAATCCAGTTCAATGTGGATTTTATACAGCTAAATGGAAGGGGTCTACACTGCTTTATAATCCAATTCAAAGCCAATAATCTGGATTTGATATGGCAGTGTAGCTGGGGCCTGAGGGACTGGCCCTTGGCTTGAAAAAGTTTGAGGACCCCCTGCTCTATCTACATTGTGAAATTAATGCAGCTTGAAGTCAGGGCTTAATGCTATGGACGTTGTAGTTTCATGAGGCACCGGCACTCTTTGGCAAAGAAGGCCACAGCTACAACTCCCATAACTCCATACCCTTGAGCCCTGGCAGTGAAAGTGGTGTCCAAGTGCATTAATTCGACCCCAAGGACTTCTGAGTAGACATCCATAACTTGTAATTGAGACTAGATAACTAACTACACAAAGGGAATTTCGGGACTGTGCCGTTTACGAAACGCTTGGTTGGTTAGTTCTACAAAACGTAGAATTTTGGTGAAATTATCAAAAGTGGAAAGGGCAAATCGCTCTCCTAAACTCCCCCCGCCCCCCTTGAGTCTGATCTTTCGCGGTTATCCCGGTGAAGCGTCTGGTTTTACCTGCGGGTATTTCATCTCTGTATCCGCGGCCGCTTTGTCCAGGGCGCTGACCGCTTGCCCGGCGGCGGGGAAGGCGGTTCTGTTCGCACTGGGCCAGTCTTCCAGTTTGGGAGGGTAGGCAGGCCCCTCCGTCCCAGCCAGAGCCCCTGCGGAAGGAAAGAGGGAGGGAGAGCGAGAAGGCCTTAGCAGCCGCCCAGAGGAACCCTTCCCTGGGCAGCCAGGCCCACCTTCCCAGCCCAGGGATCGGTTTCAGGGATGTGGGGGGGTCCCCCCAGACTACAGGGGAAAGCGAAGAAAGCCACAGAAACACGCTAGGAACCTGGAGAGACCTTTCCCCATTGTTATTCTGTTATTATTTTCCCCCTTACTGCCTTGTAACAGCCTCACAAAAGCGGAGCACCAACACAGCACAAATATATGTATGTGCATGTATATATACACACAAACACATACACGAGGGTGGGTCAAAAAGCTATTCTGTAGAGACATGGGCAAACTTCGGGTGTTTGGACTTCAACTCCCACAATTCCTAACAGCCCAGCGGGAGTTGGAGTTGTGGGAGTTGGAGTCCAAAACACACAGAGGGCCGAAGTTTTCCCATACCTAGTGTAGAGGAGAGTTCAAGCTATGATCTGTAGCAACTTCTGCTGTTATATGTTCATTCGTAACATTTGTATGGCACAGGAAGCTAAATTTTTTTGACCCACCCGTGTGTAGAGAGTATTGTATATATAAATATATGCAACTAGCTGTACCCCCGAGAAGACAATTATGCTGGGGAAAATGGAAAATGGAAGGAAAAAAGAAGAGGGGCCGACTAAGGGCAAGATGGATGGATAGGATCCTTAAAGTGACTAGATTGACCTTGAATGAGCTGGGGGTGGTGACTGGCCGACAGGGAGCTCTGGCGTGGGCTGGTCCATGAGGTCACAAAGAGTCTGAAGGAATGAACAACAAAAGCTGTAACGCCACACGTTGCTGTGGCCAACCTTCCTTCCCTCTCTTTTCTTTCTCGCCTTCCTCCCTTCCCTTTTTTTCTTTCCTTCTCTCCTTCCTTCCTTCCTTCTCTACCTCTTTCCTTCCTTCCTCTCCCTTTTTCTTTCTCTTCTTTCTTCCTTCTCTACCTTTTCTTGGACTGTAACTCCCAGCAGCCCTCCAGATTGATCAATTTACCAACTATCTATCTATATCTAATCTATATAATTTATCTATCTGGAGGATTGCTGGGAGTTGCAGTCCAGGAATAGAAAATAGGACATATGTACGGATTGGGATGCTTTCAAAGAAATCCAAGGAGAAGCAAGCTTGCAGCTTGGAAGCAGTGCATTTGGAGCATCCTCCTCCCCTAAAGGGCCTGGTCTAGAGGATGCTGGGAGCTGTAGTTTTCGCGCATGCGCTATATCGTCATTTAGCTTTTGGGTTTTTTTTAAAGTCCTTTCGGCTGTGTTTTTTTTTTTTTTTGCAAGGGTTTATGAGTGATGGTCACTCTTTGGTCTGTTAGGAGTGTAGTGTCCAAATTTCTTGTCAATTCGTTCAGTGGTTTTTGAGTTATGTTAATCCCACAAACGAACGTTACATTTTAATTTATATAGATGTATAATCTATGTATTACATTTTTATTTATATAGATGAGTCCTCTGTAAGGCAAATGTTTGTAACTTGGGGATTGCCTATATATATATATATATTTTTTAAGGGAAATTCTCTCCTGGAAGAGTTATCCTAGGGAAAAGGAGTTTCTGCTTAAGCTTGTTTCCAATCCTTGTTTCCACAACAAGCTTCTTTTTTTTTCAAAATCCGATTCTCACAGGGAGAGAAAGTGCGTGAAATCTTCAGACAGCAAAACAAACACCACAGGGGTATTAACCCTATGCTATCCACAGATATAGATATAGATGAGATATAGATAATAATAATAATAATAATAATCATCATCATCATCATCATCTTTATTTATACCCCCGCCACTATCTCCCCAACGGGGACCCGGGACAGCTTACATGAGGCCAAGATATAGATATAGATATGGATATGGATATCGATATAGATATGGATATGGATATCGATATCGATATAGAAGGCTGGAGTTACACTTAAGAAATGTACCTCTTTCCAACAAATTCAATTTAAGAACAAACTTACAGAACTTAGCTTGTTGGTAACGTGGGAACTGCCTGTATATAGACACACCCGCACACATATATATTCATACACAGGTGGGTCAAAAAGTAATGTCTCCATGGCTCTAACTTTTATTTCGTTCACAGCTACTGGACCATCTAGGCATGATCTGATAGAGCAGTGGTTCTCAACCTTCCTAATGCCGCAACCCCTTAATACAATTCCTCATGTTTTGGTGACTCCCCAACCATAAAACTATTTTCCTTGCTACTTCATAACTGTAATTTTGCTACTGTTATGAATCGTGATGTAAATATCTGATATGCAGGATGTATTTTCAGTCACTGGATCAAATTTGGCACAAATACCCAATATGTCTACATTTGAATCCTGGTGAGGCTGGGAGGTTGATTTTCTCATTTGGGAATTGTAGTTCTTGGGATTTATAGTTCACCTACAACCAAAGAGCATTCTGAACTCCACCAATGATGGAATTGAACCAAAGGTGACACACAGGACTCCCATGACCAACAGAAAACACTAGAAGGGTTTGGTGGGCATTGACCTTGAGTTTTTGGAGTTATAGTTCACCTACATCCAGAGAGCACTGTGGACTCAAACAATGATGGATCTGGACCAAACTTGGCACGAATGCTCAATATGTCCAAATGTGAACATTGGTGGAGTTTGGAGAAAATAAGCCTTGACATTTGGAAGTTGTTGTTCCTAGGTTTTATAGTTCACCAACAATAGAATTGGGCCTAACTTCCCACACAGAACCCCCATGACCAACAGAAAATACTGTGTTTTCTGATGGCCTTTGGCGACCCCTCTGACACCCCCCTCGCGACCTCCCCTCAGGGGTCCCGGGCCCCCAGGTTGAGCAAGGCTGCGATAGAGGTAACCTTACTTTCCTGATATAGTCTTTTCTTTTTTTCTGATTTACTTATTAGAACCACAAATCTGAAGGACGACAGACGCCTTAGTTCAGAATGTTGCTGATGCATTTAACTTCTATAGCTCTGCCCAAGGAATTATCGTTGACTAGCTGTACCCGCCATGCCTTGCTGTGGCCAACCTTCTCTCCTTCTTTCTTTCTTTCTTTCTCTCCTTCCTTCCCTCCCTCTTTCTTTCCTTCCCTCTTTTTCTTTCCCTTCTTTTTTCTTCCTTCTCTACCTGTTTGTTTTTTCGCTTCCTTTGCTCTTTGGTTCCATTCTTCCTTGTCTCTTTCCTTCCCTCCCTCTTTCTCTTTTACATTCCTTCTCTCCTTCCTTCCCTCTTTCACTTTTTTATTTCCTTCTCTCCTTCCTTCTCTACCTTTCTTTCTTTCCTTCTCTCCTTCCTTCCCTCTTTCTCTTCCTCCCTCTCTCCTTACTTCTCTATCCTTCTTTCCTTCATTCACTATCTCCTTCCCTCCTTCTTTCCCTTTCTCTCCCTCCTTCCTTCCTTCCTTCCTTCCTTCCTTCTTTCTCTATCCTTCTTTCTTTCCTTCTTTCTTTCCTTCCCTCCTTCTTCCTTCTCTACCTTTCTTTCCTTCCCTCCTCCCTCCCTCCCTTTCTGTGTATGTGTTTTTGTGTTTGAGTGTTACATATGTGGTTTTGCACCTGCGTTGTAATTTTTTTTTGGTTTTTTAAGTCTCTTCTGCTGCGTTTTTCAGTGTTTTATGAGTGATGTTTACTCGTTGGCCTGATAGGCCACAAATGACAAAATCCTTTTTTTTAGTGAAGGACATACATTGGGTTGTTAGGTGTCTTGTGTCCAAATTTGGTGTCTATTTGTCCAGTGGTTTTTGAGTTATGTTAATCCCACAAACGAACATTACATTTTTATTTATATAGATGGGATACTACAAAGAGTATGGGTTCCCAAGCAATTGACTGATGGTTTTTGTGATGATAATCAATGAAACTGTCGATAATCAATGGGAGGAAGCGAGTAAACGTTTGTCAAGAGCTCCTTCATCAGGATAATGCATGCCCACACATGTTATGATCTGTAGCAACTCCTGCTGTTATATGTTCATTCATAATGTTTTTATGACCCAGGAGGCAAAACTTTTTGACCCACCCGTATATGTGCTTTTCTGTCTATCTATCTTGGTTTTTAGGCCTGTTCCTGAGGTTATTTGGAACTGCTGATTCAGAAAATTGCATTGGATAGACCGCATCAGCTCTAGCTTCGTAGATGTGGTTATCATGAATTTCTATCTCAAAAACTAACAATTTTTGGAAGCGACAAGTCACACAGACCCAGAAAAAGGCCAACCTTCGAGGCATCAATCTGTGTGTTTCTCTGTGTAATGAAAGCAATGCGGATTTCTGGCTGCTCTAGACTGTTTGGGTGGGAACCAGTCGCCCTGGCGAAGGGTGGGATGCAGCCCAAGCCCACAAACCCGGACTACCGCGCCGGCTCTCGTATCGCGAGGTCTTCCATTCAGTGCACAAATGCAACCAGCTTTTGCCAAGAATTCATTTGAAACATATTCTCCCATTTCCACGCCTGTTTCCTTTGAAGGGGCCAGTTTTGCGGGACTTCATCCCACATCATTGAGAAGGCCCTTTCGAAGGGGAACCGCCGGAACAAATCGAGAGGAGGGGGGAGATTCATTGCTCAGCCAAATCCAATTGCCTGCTCTTTGGATCCAAACCTATTTGAGGGGGAAATCTATCAGTTTAGAGTTTATGAGTTACTGCCACCAACAACTTTGGGCCCTTCCAGACAGGCCCTATAACCCAGGATCGGATCCCAGATCTTTTGTTTATCCCAGATTATCTGACAGTGCGGACTCATATAATCCAGTTTAAAGCAGAAGACTTGGGATCATGTCCTGGGATAGAGGATCTGTCTAGAAAGGCCTAAGTTACTCCCACCCATTAGAAGCGAGAAGTTTCCTTAAGCAAAGATGGACTTTTATAACCAAATTAAAAGAACTATGAATTGTTCAACTAAACAGCAATTGGAAGGTTTTTATTTTATTTTCGTTATTAAAGTCTATGAATTGTTCAACTAAACACCAAGGAACCCCCTTAACGCAATGAGTTAAAGCCTTGTGCCAGCAGGACTGCTGACCGAAAGGTGGGGAGCAGGGTAAGCTCCCGTCTGTCAACCCCAGCTTCCCAGGTTGGCACTTCCAATGGGGAGTGGGATGAGCTCCCGTCTGTCAGCTCCAGCTTCCCAGCTTGGAAGTTTTCAATGGGGAGAGGGGTGAGCTCCCCTCTGTCAGCTCCAACTTCCCAGGTTGGCAGTTCCAATGTGGAGTGGGATAAGCTCCCGTCTGTCAGCTCCAGCTTCCCAGATTGACAGTTCCAATGGGAAGTGGGATGAGCTCCCGTCTGTCAGCTCCGGCTTCCCAGCGTGGCAGTTCCAATGGGGAGCGGGATGAGCTCCCGTCTGTCAGCTCCAGCTTCCCATGCGGGGACAAGAAAGAAGCCTCCTACAGGATGGTAAAACATCCGGGTGTCCCCTGGGCAACGTCCTTGCAGACAGCCAGTTCTCTCAAACCAGAAGTGACTTGTTGTTTCTCAAGTCACGAGAAAAAATATAACTAAACAGCAGGAATTGTTTGGGGTTTTAAAACCATAAGGCGACAGAATCCCTTTCCAATTCCCACCAAACAAAATAAATGAAAGGGAATTTAAATTTATCTTTTAAAAAAATACTGAAACCGGAACCCATTTTGTTTCTAGTTTTCCAGGAACAAACCGGAGTCTTAAAATATATATCCCGGGTAATTTGGAGCCGCCGCCTCCTACCAAGGATTTTGTGGGTCTCTGGGATCTAATGTAATTGTAGCTAATCGGCAAGAAGGAAATCAAGAACGGGGTCTCTTTCTCTGAAGCCGGAAGGAGGGCGTTTGGGGAGGTGGGGAAGAAAGGTTGTGATCCTGCACAAGGGAGAGATGGACTGCCTGCCCCCTTCTCCCGCTTTCTCTTCAAGGGGAGGCATGCGGGCTCCGGCTTTGCGGTTGGCAATCTATCATCGCTTCAAAAATATTTTCCACATTTTTCCATAAGACGTTCAAGATGTCCGGGCCTTTCCTCCAGCGAGAGACGGAGTTTTGTCTGCTGCCGAGCCCTGGCCTTCGAGGCTCAAGGCCCCAGAAAGGTGATCTAGGGGATTCTCGGCCTTCAAGCCCCTATTCCTTCCTCACACTGGCTCTAGAATTTGGGGGAGCACTCTTAAGGCACAAATAGTTGGGCTTAGAAGAGGAACTAAACCAAAACCGTTGGTAAACAAACGATTATTGGGTCGTTCCCGATTCCTGGCGGCCCTGAATATCCTAAAAGCATCAGCTTGTCATCTTGGAAGCTTAGCAGGTCAAGCCCCGGTTAGTGCTTGGATGAGAGACAAATACGGGATGCTTTAGGGCAGGCATGGGCAAACTTAGACCCTCCAGTGGACTTCAGCGGCTGAGGGGGAAAAGGAAAGGGCCTGAGGTTGTTAGGAATGGTGGGAGTTGAAGTCCAAAGCACTTGGAGGGCCAAGTTGGCCCATGCCTGCTTTAGGGTTATCAGAAAAACCTATGAACTTCATAGGGTAGCCATAAGTCCCTGCCTTATTACTACACTGGCCAACCCATATTTGGGTGCCTCAAATGTTAGCCCTGTTTTATTATTTTATTATTTATAGGGCATTACTAGTCAGAGAGCCCCGGTGGTGCAGTGGGTTAAAGTGGGTTAAACCGCTGAGCTGCTGAACTTGCAGATTGAAAGGTCACAGGTTCGAATCCGGAGAGCGGAGTGAGCTCCCGCTGTTAGCCCCAGCTTCTGCCAACCTAGCAGTTCGAAAACATGCAAATGTGAGTGGATCAATAGGTACTGCTCCGGCGGGAAGGTAAGGGCGCCCCATGCAGTCATGCTGATCACGTGACCTTGGAGGCATCTACGGAGAACGCGGGCTCTTCTGCTTAGAAATTGAGATGAGCACTAACCTCCAGAGTTGGACAAGACTTGCCTCAACGTCAAGGGAAAACCTTTACCTTTTTACTAGTCAGAGGAAAAGTAGTAACCATATCTATGGCCCCTTCCACACAGCTGAATAAAATCCCACTTTATCTGCTTTGAACTGAATTGTATGGCAGTGTGGACTCAGACAACCCAGTTCAAAGCAAATATTGTGGGATTTTCTGCCTTGATACTCTGGGTTATAGGGCTGCTAGCTATACCCGCCACGCATTGCTGTGGCCAACCTTCCCTCCCTCTTTCTCTCCTTTCCCTCCTTCCTTCCTTCCTTCCTTCCTTCCCTCTTTCCTTCATTTCTTCCCTTTTTCCTTCCTTCCTCCTCTACCTCTTTCTTTCCTTCCCCCTTTTCATTTGCTTCCTTTTTCTCTCTTTTCTTTATTCTCTACCTCTTTCCTTCCTTCACTCATTCCTTCTTTTTTCACTCTTTCTTTCTTTCTCTCCTTCCTTCCCTCCTTCTTCCTTCCTTTTTTTCTGTGTCATCATTTAGCTTTTTGGGGGTTTTTTTTTATGAGTGATGGTCACTTGTTGGTCTGTTAGGTGTATAGTGTCCAAATTTCGTGTCAATTCGTCCAGTGGTTTTTGAGTTATGTTAATCCCACAAACGAACATTACATTTTTATTTATATAGATAGATATGGAAGGGAGCCAAGAGACCAGAGGTAATGCTGCAGGCCCAGCGCCTCAAACAACCCCAGGAAAGAGGCCTAAAATCCAAGACACCAAGGATATTTTTGTCGTTGGGCTGTGCTATTATTTCTATTACTGATGTTACTGCTACTGCTAAACTCCTGGCTTCGGGATACACAGGAAATGGCTTCAGGGAATCGATCTCGCCCCCAAATTTTTAGGTCACCATCCCAAATCGCGAAATAATCACGAGAATCGTTGTGGAGGGCTACGTTAACCCTCACAGTGCCATTTTTGGAAGGCACCCACATTTATTTGGACTCCCTGAAACATTATTATTTGAGGAAGCGCAGTAGCTCTAAAACTCCTTTTCCTGGTAAACGTTTTTGTGTCTTTCTGAATGAACTAATACTCTTTGCCTCTGGTTTAACAACGCACATTTGGCGTATCTCTAACAAATCTAAAAGGAGGAAACAAAATAGTAAAATTCGAGGGAAACTATTTTTGTTTGCATGTAGGTTGCCTCCTATACCACTTATTGTCATGACATTTAAGCACAGCTAGTTCATCTCGGAGAAGCAGTGTAACGCCACTCCGGATGCCAATGCTCTACACTCAGATTGGCCACTCAAATTCACGGAGTGAACTCGCACTCACACTCTCTCAGCCTCAGAGAAAAACAAAGGCAACCCCCTTCTGAACAAACCTTGCCTGAGGTTCCATCTACACTGCCGTATGGTCAGTATAGGGTCATATAATGCATCTTGACTGCATCGAAGTGCCTTATACAAATTTACACTGACCATATAATGCAGTTAGGAACTGTACTATAGGGAAGTGTAGATGGAGCCCGAAGTCTGGATCTACATTGCCATATAATGAACTTTCAGAATGCAGATTTAGGCCTATTCTTCACTGCCATATAAAATCCTTCAAACCAGATAGAGTGGATCATCTGATTTGATCATCTGGATTATACGGCAGTGTAGAAGGGGGCTGAGTCTGGATCTACATTGCCATATAATGCAATTCCAGAAAGCAGATTGACTGCATTTATATCTATCTATCTTTCTATCTACCTACCTACCTACCTTCCTAAGGGCCCCATCTACACTGCTATATAAAATCCAGATTATCGGATTTGAACGGGATTATATTGCAGTGTAGACTCACATGATCCATTTCAAAGCAAACACTGCTTTGATAATCTGGATTATATGGCTGTGTAGAAGGGGCCTACCTTGCCATATAATCCAATTCAAAGCAATTGATCTGAGTTCTTGAAACTGCATTATTTGGGAGTGTAGATGGGGCCGGTGTCCCTATGTCAGAAGCGACACCAAACAGCAAACCGAATCCCCAAGCATAGCCCAGACTTGCCTCCCTTTCTTGTTAAGTTTGCAGCAAGGGGTGTTTTTCTTGCCCAAGAATGAATGAATTCACAGTTGCCCATGCTGGGTCTGTGTACCAAGTTTGGTCCAGGTCCGTAGTTGGTTGGGTTCAATGCTCTCTGGATAAGGGTAAACTACAACTTCCAGATTCCCGGGGCAATCACCCCCAAGCCCTGCCAGTATGCACAATTGGCCATGTTGGGTCTGAGTGCCAAGTTTAGTCCAGATTCGTCTCTGGCTGGGCTCAGTACTCGCTGTATAAGGGTGAACTACAACTCACAGATGCCCAGGGCAATTACTCCCCCCCCCCCCAAAAAAAAATCCTGGCAGTACACACAGTTGGCCATGTTGGTTCTGTGTTGGCTGAGTTCAGTGCTCTCTGGATAAGGAAGAATAACTCCTAGATTCCCAGGGAAATAACCCCCAAACCCTGCCAGTATGCACAATTGCCCATGTTGGGTCTGTGTGTCAATTGTGATCCAGCTCCGTCCTTGGCTGGGTTCAGTGTTCTCTGGATAAGGGTGAACTACAACTCCCAGATGCCCAGGGCAATCACTCCCAAACCCTGCCAGTATGCACAGTAGAGCATGTTACCAATTGTGGTCCAGATTCCTCATTGGCTGGGTTCCGTGTTGTCTAGATAAGGGTGAACTACATCTCCCAGATTTCCAGGCCAATCTCCCCGAAACCCTGCCCACATGCACAGTTCCCGCCGCAGAGCTCTCTTTGGCAGGGGAAGGTGCCTGGTTGGCTTCACTTCCGGGATGGGACTCCTTTCCCCTTTCTCCCTTACTCACCGCTCTGCTCCATGAAGGCGCGGATGCCCAGGATGTTGCTGACGGAGTGGGCCGAGGGCCAGGAGCGGGGCAGACTGACGTGGGCGGCCGAGAGCGGGACCCCCGGGTGGCTACCCAGTTTGGCGGCTGCGGCGGGGTAAGGGTACTGGTAGATGTGGTTGTAGGGCAGGGCGGGCTGCGGCGGAGCAGGGTGCTTGCAGCTGCCCCCTCCCTCGTAGGGCCCCCCTCCTCCTCCTCCTCCTCCGCCCGAGGGGGCTGCTCCGGGCTGCGAGAGGCTGCCGATCTTGTTGCGGAGGATCCTGCTGATGGAGCTGACGGAGGGCACGTTGTACTTGTCGCAGACGCCGTCGGCCAAGAGCCGGTCGCGGATCTCCCAGGCGAAGATGCCCGGGTCGCCCTGCTTGTAGTCCCGGATGTGCTTGACCACGTTGGGGGTGGTGACGCGGGGCTTGCTGCCCCCGATGGCCCCCGGCAGGATGGAGCCGGTCTCGTGGTAGCGGGCCAGGATCTTGCTGACGCAGCCGTGCGAGACCCGCAGCTGGCGGCTGATGTCGCAGGGACGGATGCCCAGCTGGGCCAGCTCCACGATGCGTAGCCGGATGGCGTTGGGCAAGGGGCGCCCGTTCACGAAGACGCCGCCCAGCTGGTTCACCTCGCCGTAGCTCTGCTCTGGAGCGGGGAGGGAAGCAGGGAAGGAGGGAAGGGTAAAGCAAAGAGTTAGCAAAGGAGATTCCATCGGAACATTAGGAAGAACTTCCTGACTGGGAGAGCCATTCAACAGTGGAACTCTCTACCCTGGAGTGTGGTGAAGGGACAGGAGGAAGGGAATAGGGCTCCTTTCCTGCTCCTCCGCAGTGGCAGGACTGCATGCATGCTGGCCTGGGTGCCGGCTTCCCGCAAGGCCCACCTCTGCCCCTTCCGCCGCCTTGCCCCCCTCGCCCTTACCCATAGTAGCCACTTCCAACCCGGAGGCGCCGCCAGAGCCCGGCCTCTCTCCCCGCCGCCCTCAGGCAGCAGCAGCGGCGGGCGCATAGGGCAACCTCGAGCCGAGACACCTCCGAAAGCCGAGTAGGAAGCGAGCGATCTCCCGGGAAAGCTCGCCGATCCGTTTCGGAGGAGGCGCCCGCGCCGCTTGACGTGTCTCGCGCGTCACCCTCGAGGAGGCTCGCGCTGGAGGTGCCGCGCGGACCAGCTTCGGGCCGCTGATTGGCTCCGAGAGGTGTCTCCGGCCCCAGAGAGGCCGCATGGGGCGGGGCTTGATGTGGAACCGCCCCCTCCGGAGCCCGCCCCGCCCCCGAGCCGCGAAGCCCCCTCCTCTCCCTCCTCAGGCCAGATTCCCGCGAAAGAGTCCAAGGGAGGCGTGGATGGGTCGCATTGGCGTGCCTCTATACGCTCGCCGCCCTTTCCCGTTCCCCAAAAGAAGGAAGCCCGTTTCCCCGAGTGCGAGCAAGGTCAGCGACCCAAGACACCTGTCACTACTGACCTCCCTCCCCCAGTGTGGTGGAGCCTCTGGCTCTCCCTGGTTCGTTTGCACTGGATCCAAGGGAAAAATGCGGTCCTGGGCAAARTTGCCTCAAATGAGCAGCACCTATTTCTGAAGACATTTGGAAGGTSCCCTAAAACCCGAGTTTGGGCCTATTAAGCCGCCGGAGGGTCTTGACAAGCACAGAGCCCCTGCCTTGTTTGTCTGTAAGCAGCCCCCTGAAGACACCCTTATTTCTGAGGTTTCTTTCCTTCCTTATTCCTTTCTTCTTTCCTTCTTCCCTTCCTCCCTTACCTCCCCCTCCCTCCCTTCTTTCCTTCTTCCCTCCCTCCCTTTCTTCTTTCCTTCCCTTCCTTCCGCCTTCCCTTCTATTCTTCTTTCCTTCCTTTCTCCCTCCCTCTCTTCCTTTCTTCTTCCCTTATTTCCTTCTCCCTTCCTTTTTTCTTCCCTCCCTTCTTTCTTCACTTCCTCCCTTCCTTKCTTACTTTTTCACTTCCTTTCTTCCTCCCTTTCTTCTTCCCTTCTTTCCTTCCCCCTTCCTTTTTTCTTCCCTACCTTCTTCCCTCCCTTTCTTCTTCTTTTCCTTCCTTTTTCACTTCCTTCCTTCTTCTCTTCCTTCCTTCTTTCCTTCTTTCCTTCCTCCCTTCCCCCCTTCCTTCCTTCCTTCCCTCCCTCCTTTCTTCCTTCCTTCTCCATTTTTTTGCTGGGGATAAAGAACGACCGTTTGTCCTCGTGAAATGTTTTACTATCCGAAGAAAAAGGTTTGATTCCTTCCGCAGGAAGACCTCAGTCGACAGCCACGGGAGGGAACGAGGAGCCTTCAAAGACACCACCCAACCCACATGATCTCTAGTTTCCCTCGAAACGATTTGCTGCCAGAAATATAACCGATACGGCTTCCTTTGCATCCTCTGTAAAGAGGAGTCGGGCCGGGAGAAGACGTTCCTAGTGAAGAAATGATAATAGCTCCCGATTCCTCTCGATCCAACTCAGTTACTAAACTGGGTCACAAACGCATAGGGAGATCAGGCCTGCCGATGACAACGAGACCTGCATCCGAATAATGTTTTTGATCTCAAAGGAGGGAGAAGGCGTTTTAGAACAAGCCAAGAATACAGGTTTTTAATTTATCTTGATCATGGGAAAGAGTTTCTTTTGAAAAGAAAGCACTTCCCTTCTCGAAATGCCATCCTCAGAAATACGTTGCGGGCAGGTCAAAAAGTTTTACCTCCTGTGTCATAAAAACGTTATGAATGGGCATATATCCGCAGAAGTTGCTACAGATCATAGCCTGAACTGTCCTCTACACATGCGCCATCGTTTAACCCAGGCATTAAAACCATTTTGGAGAAATTCTAGGTTTTGCTTCGTGACCCAAGCTGTTTTTAAGTCACTGACTCTGAAACCACCTAGGTTGTCCTTCAAAGGTCCAAACAGGTGAAAGTCCATTGCAGGTCCCCATAAACATTCTTCAAACAATTATGGATTTCCTTAGGTGCACATTAACCTAATAGTAACAGATCCATGGTTCTAATCACTCAATCTGAACAAGAAAAGACTAAATCAGTGGAGTAAGGTTACCTCTACCATATCATGCATAGATAGTCCAGTAGCCGTGAAATAAAGAAAAGTTAAAGCGATGGAGGCATTACTTTTTGATCTACACTGTGTGTGTGTATGTACACACATGCATACATACAATAATAGAGTCACAAAACCGGAGTCGAAAAGAATTTTTAAAAATATTATTTTGATTGGGCTGTTGTAGGCTTTTCGGGCTATATGGCCATGTTCTAGAAGCATTCTCTCCTGACGTTTCGCCTGCATCTATGGCAGTCATCCTCAGAGGTTGTGACACCCACAAGGATATTTAATATTATTGATATTATATTGTTATTATATTATTCCTACTAGCCGCCCCCTGCCAAGCGTTGCTGTGGTCCAGTCTGGTGATCTGGAAAATAAAGTAATTCGAAAGTGTTGGTTTCTAATATATGTAATTTCTTTCTGCTTGTGGGTAAACAGTATTTGATTACGTTTTCTTGCCCTGGTAAAGGGAGTAGGACTGGATGGCCTGAAGTATTTTCTATTGGTCATAGGAGTTCTGTGTGGAAAGTCTGCCCTAATTGTTCGTGGGGTTCAGAATGCTCTTTGATTGTAGGTGAACTATAAATTCCAGTAAGTACAACTCCCAAATGTCAAGGTCTATTTTCCCCAAACTCCGTCTGTGTTCCTAGTTGGGCATATGGAATATTTGTGCCATGTTTGGTCCAGATCCATCATTGTTTGAGTCCGCAGTGCTCTTTGGATGTAGGTGAACTACAACTCCCAAACTCAAGGTCAATGCCCACCAAACCCTTCTAGTGTTTTCTGTTGGTCGTGGGAGTCCTGTGTGTCACCTTTGGTTCAATTCCATCATTGGTGGAGTTCAGAATGCTCTTTGATTGTAGGTGAAATATAAATCCCAAGAACTACAACTCCCAAATGACAAAATAAAAAAAAATTGAGTGAAGGACATACATTGGGTTGTTAGGTGTATGCTGTCCAAATTTGGTGTCAATTCGCCCAGTGGTTTTTAAGTTCTGTTAATCCCACAAACGAACATTACATTTTTATTTATATAGAAGATTTATAATTCTAAGAGGAAGGACGGTAATACCTGGATTATTGGTTAATTTATTATTATTTTAATAATACTATGATATTATTATTCCTCACAACTTCTGAGGATGCTTGCCATCGATGCAGGTGAAACGTCAGGAGAGAATGCTTCTAGAACATGGCCAATATAACCCGAAAAACCTACAACAACCCAGTGATTCCGGCCATGAAAGCCTTCGACAATATATTATTTGGATCCCCAAACTAACGTTTACGGGACCTCCTTAAAAATTATCTGAAATTAACCAAGCTTTTATAAAGTTGTCGATGAGTTTGTGTCATTTCTACACAACTTCTTGCTTTTCCAATCTGCTACGGCCGTTTTCGTATTATTTCTCCCCCACTGCGCTTGGATTGGCATCGGAATTAAGGTTGGAAAGGGTGGCATCTCCGTACTTTCTAGATGGGGGTCGTTAAACCCTTCCACGCGTGTCGAATCCAACCCCATTCCGGGCCTTTTCGCGAAACACCTTGCAGGGACCTGCGGGGGTCACGCCTGTCCTGGCCAACTCTCTCCTCGTCGCCTCTGATGTCGTGTCAATGTTTGTGTTGTGGACTTGGGTCCGCTTCAATCGCCCAAGGCCATGCCCAGCCCCGTTGGGAGCCCACCCGTTTCGATGAGAGAAATGAGGTCCCTCAGGGTTTACGGAGTTTACGGAATTTACGGACAAACAAACGTAAACCGACGTGGAAGCAAATCGCGCGCGAAGGGTGTGAAACTTGGGGCACAGCATCACAGGGAGGGTTCTATGGACCTGAATGAAAACACGCCGATCCAGAGGGAAAGAGGCAACCAGGTCAAACCGCATAAACCCTATGTATTCTGAATAGGAAATATTTAAGCAAACCACCATCACTTTTGCCTAGTTCCAACAGACCTCACTACCTCTGAGGATGCTTGCCAAAGCGCAGGCGAAACGTCAGGAGAGAATGCCTCCAGACCATGGCCATACAGCCCGAAAAAACCTACAACAACCCATCACTTGAAAGTCCGAAATTTAAACTAGGACGGTTGGTTTCTACACATTCCTTACATTAAATGGTCAGCATAGCCCCATATTATTAGCAGAGAGACAATTATCATGCTGGATCTATACTGCCAGATAATCCAGATTATAAAAGCAAATAATCCGGATTATGTCTTTGAACTGGATTATATGAATCTATAGTGCCATATAATCCAGTTCAAATCAGATAAACTGGATTTTATATGACAGTGTAGAGCAGGCCTCAGAGAAACTATGTCCCCTTCCCCACAACCATATAACCCGGAATATCAAGGCATAGCCCCATACTATTAGCAGGGAGACAATTATCACGCTGGATCTACACTATTAGCAGAGAGGCCAGATAATCCAGATTATAAAGTCAAATAATCCGGATTATGTCTTTGAACTGGATTATATGAGTCTATAGTTTCATATAATCCAGTTCAAATCAGATAAACCGGATTTTATATGACAGTGTAGAGCAGGCCTCAGAGAGACCATGTCCCCTTCCCCACAACCATATAACCCGGAATATCAAGGCATTGCCCATACTATTAGCAGAGAGGCAATTATCACCTGGATCTATACTGCCAGATAATCCAGATGATAAAGTCAAATAATCTGGATTATGTCTTTGAACTGGATTATATGAGTCTATTTTATATAATCCAGTTCAAACCAGATAAACTGGATTTTATATGACGGTGTAGAGCAGGCCTCAGAGAAACTATGTCCCCTTCCCCACAAACATATAACCCGGAATATCAAGGCATAGCCCCATACTATTAGCAGGGAGACAATTATCACGCTGGATCTACACTGCCAGATAATCCAGATTATAACAGCAAGTAATCCGGATTATGTCTTTGAA